CACGGAGGTTCAAATGCGGTGACTCCGGGCTATCTGCAAAGCAGGTGGTTGTCTTGAGATTAGTCAGCTCGCATAATGAGTTGGATATACAGGTTAATAAAAAAAGATCAAGCATCAATATTTCTTATACAACATATTTATAGAATGAAACAATTCATTACATGTAACCCAATTCACATGGATTAAAAGTTAAATGGGCTAGGAATGACTTGGTCTATTAAAGCAACCTACTTGGGTCCAATCGGCCCGTCTACTGGATCTAGCCCAGTCCGTTGTAAACGGACCTGAGTGGTTCTCCTTAACTCGAAGGCTCAAACAAATCGGGTTCAACTCCATGCTACGGGTTTCGGTTTCTATTTTTTATGGTTTATGTTCTAAACAATCCTTAACACTACAAATCGGCTTTTATATTATCACCACCAACAGATAGAAAACCTACCATCGCTTTGTTATTGCTGCTTACGGTGGTTGTCAGTCATTACCCATCATTTTGCCACCACTGTAAGAATTTTTTTGTATCGACTTTAAACAAAGTATCGATCATCAAATCAAAGAATCGAGTGAGTTTTCTTTGACCTTAGTTATTGCTTGAACGTGATAGATCTTGAACGTTCAAAACCCTCGATCGAGGACCGTTTTCCTCTAGGGTTTCTCTCGTTTTTCTTCGACCATTTCTAAACGTTTGTACCATTTATAGCATCACAATTACATAAGTACAATATAAACATTAATTAATCTCTAACCCATATACTCTAAAGGGACATTGTTCAGTCTGACATTCAAGTATTAAATGACTATGAATATCAAGATTACAACCAAAACACACACACAAGGAGGTTTTCTTTCTTCGAACAAACGTTAATGGATGTTTGTGATAAGAAACCATCTTAGTCCTGGTACCCTCATACATGGTATTTGCATAAGGATCTAATCGGTTAGCGCAATTAAGGTGAAAGGAATTTTTGCATTTATAACAATGATAGAGTGGACGCTTCGAATGCATTTCCTTCTTACATATATCACAGTAGAAATCTTCAGGGTGATCTTCGACTGCGGGATACGTCAAAGATATTTCATGTCCTTTGCAATACCTATGAGCAACAACAC